TGCTTTTATGCATTTGATCTTTATGACTTGCTAATAAGTGCTTATGAATATTTTCAGGACTAAGCTACCATGGTTCACTGCTGAATACACCCAAAACTTACAGGTAATAAAATTTAGTAAGAGGAAAGGAATCAATACTAAGCCCTTGCTGCAGACAGGAAAACTGCAGCTGCTGTGCCAGGCAGCATAACCAGGTCTCACTTAGTGCTGTTACTATTCACTTTTGTCTCTGCTCACAAACCAGCAATCCTCTCTTCTTTGCACTGCCTCTAGTACTTGTCCAGCCTTGCTTTGGGCCCCTTCAGTGCCTTACAGCAATAGAAAACCAACTTGAAGAGAAGGGAGGAGGAAGAGGGGATGATGGCCAGGCTGAGGCAGCCAGAGAGCACATCTCTTAAGAACTGCAGCTTCAGGCTGAAGGAGATTAGATAGCATGTCCCATATCACAGCTGTGACAGAGACAAGGATGAATCAACATCTAAGCCCAAGCTCAGTGCCTAACACCTAGAAAAAAATACACTTATTGCTTTTTTCTGTTTGGTGATCTTCCTTTCACACTCACCATTTTGTCAGTTGAATATTTAATTGTCAGAAAAGCTTTTTCTATTTCCTTAGTTTAATTTAAAGGCATGCCTTTCTTTTTGTTTCTGTGTTGTACGTCTTGCAAACCCAGAACATTAATAATAAAAAAAGAAATGTAGGTATTCAGATGAAAAATCCAAAGCACGGGTTTTCAAGCACACAAAAGCTTAAAACATATTTTTAAAATGTTGGAAGAGAAAGAAAATATCTCAAAATGGTAAAAAAAAAAAACTGGATGCATTTCAGTTAAAAAGGGCTATTGTTTTGTTCTATAGAAAGAGATTATATTCAAACATGTATACAGTTTTGTAGCCAGAAATGCAGAAGCACCACATAAATAGTTGTATGTCAAAGGTCACTTACTATAGAGAATACTTATGGAAAATAAAATGCTGTCGCTAGAAAGCTGATAATAAATGGCTGTGGAGTGTCTGGGAAGGGCAAAATTGAGATTCCCAAATATCTTAATTGAACCAGGTCTTTTTTTCTTCAATACAGGCAAAAGCGTAAGAAATATACTTGGCATTTAGTTGCAAAACAATGCTAAAAATAATCCAAGTTAAGTGATTAAGAAAAAATGGCTCTGGATTATGTGGTTATCAGAGTAATAAAAGGAGAATACTGATTAGCATGCCAAATCTGTAGTACCATACCAATCCAATTCTCTCCTTCGGTAATTCTTTTTTGTAGCCGTAGTAACAAAAGGAAACTTAAGTCATCCAGACATTTGCAGTTCCTATATTTTTTTTTTTTTAAATAAGTCTTAATTTCTCTATCTAAGAAGCTCTGTTTTCTACATATAGCACTCATAATCATACTTTCCTACATTTAAATGTGATGAAATGTCCCTAGGCATTAATTAATTTCTACATAATTCATTCATATTTCATTTTAAAAGGTGTGCTTCTGCTTATATTACTGTATGAAGAGGCCTTGAAAACAAGCTCCAGTACTCAGAATTCATATCTATAATGAAAGTACTTCACTAAATAGAAAAGGTTTTGTTGTTTTTTAATTTTTGAAGAAGTTGAAAAGATTTTCATGCTATTGCAAAATAAAGTGAAAGAAATAATGATTAGAAATATTCCCAGAAAGGAAATTCACAGTATTCAAATACTGCAGGAATAGTCTTAAAATATTTAATGGTTGGACTAATATAGGTTAGAATTGGCCCCAGGTAGTCTCTAAGCTGCTCAAAACAGAGCCAGCCCTGGCTGCTCAGTCCTTTGTGCATTTGAGTCTTGAAAACTTCTAAAGCTGGATTCTGCACAGCCTCCTTAACAGCCTGGTCCATCACTTATCTATCCTCTGTTGAAAAAAACATTTTCCAATAGCCAGGACCTCACCTACTTCAGTTTTTTTGCTTGTATCTTGCCTTTGTGCCACTGATTATTGAGGCTCTGTCTTCTTGGTCACCTCTCCATCGGCACTTGGGTTGTAGTTGGGTTTTTCTAAACCCATCCCTCCTCCCAGTGGATGAACTGAAAAAAGGTCATTAAAAGCAGCATTAAACAGGGAGGTCCTAGGGTAACCCCCTGAAGAGCACATAGCTGGCCTCCAGGCAGGGCATGTGCTATTAACCACCCACCCATTGGGCCTGAGGGCCCAGGCAGGTTTTCACCCATCTAGTAGACCACCCATCCAGGCCAAAATGTTCCAACTTGCATACCAGTATGCTGTGGGAATAGAAAGAGTTCTTCTGGATTTCTATGAGTATTATTATTATTATTTTACTAAAGTCCATATTTCTACACTAAAGAAAAAAACCTCTATTAAATTCCACTGCAATATTTTTAGGTCACACGCTAAGAAGTATTTACTCAGACAAAAGTCACTTCATTTTTTGCACCTTGTATATAATGCAGTTTATTGATTTTATGCAGTAAATTTCATTGTGTTTCTTTTCTTTCTCTGAAGTATAAAAATGAGTGAGAAATGCTATGCAGAGCTGCTCTCAAATGAACTGTCTTTTACTTGATACCTTGTCTCGAGAATGATTTGTATTCAAATTTATCTGGTTTGGAAACAGGTTGTCCAGAGAGCTGGTGGAAGCCCCATCTTTGGAGACACTGAAGGTCAGGTTGGACAGAACTTTCAGCATGCTGAATGTCCCTGCTCATTGCAGTTGGACTAGATGACCTTTAAAGGTCCCTTCCAACTCAAATTGTTCTATGATGCTATGATTTTGTTACTGTCAGAGCCTGTGAAACTTTGTAGTTGTGTAGAGGAGATTGAGAAATGGAAGTTTTGGGTTAGCAGATAACCTAAGCAGTTTAGGGATGGAGGCCCTCAAGCACATGATTTCATCCTGAGTCCTTTGTGCAGTGTGCTTGCTTACAAGCAGGTGAATGGATACGTAGAAAATGTTCTCTCTTCTCCACCCTCCAAAAGAGTTGGTACCTTCACAGCTCTGTGTTGCGTAGGTTCAGCAGCACAAATGACTTCAGAGTCTCAAGAAGCGATGCTGCCCACTCTTCAGAGGTCCAAGATCAACAGCTTCAAATTTTGATCACACCAAACACCCAGCAAAGAGCTGTTGTGACAATCCCATGAGAATCTCACAGACTGCAGCCCATAACTACTTCTACAAGGGTTTTAACGTGATTGTAACATGACAGGATGTTCATTTCTGCACTCTGAAAATACTTTAATATCTCTTACTCTTTTTCAGATGCATTTTCAATGTTTGCACCACTGTTTTCCTTTTCTTTCTTTACTCTAGATATAAGTTACCACTGGAAACTGCTTTCCTTTTGTAACCAGACATTTCAATTTGAGGGGCAGAATGTATGATATCTGACAGAGCTTATGCCAAAAAGAAGGAATACAACATTACATGAGAAATAAAGATGTAAAGATGAGAAAAAAGAAATCTTCAATTTGAGGCAAAGGATTCTCTATATGAGAAGCTCTAAGCATAAAATCACTGTCAATTTAATAATTGTATCATACCAAAAAGTCAATTTACCTTTGACATACCACACAAATATTTTAGTTGGTGCTTGTTTCTTTTGTTATGCAGAGAATCTCTTAATTATTCTTGAACACCACTATTAATCTCATCTTTTACATTCTTGCCACTGACTCTTTTCATGTTGAAGTCAGCAGATACATTTTTACTGAGCCTTCTGTCTGTCTGTTCAGGCTTTAATCTGTCTCCTCCATTGTAGAAGCAGATCTTTCTCCTTGTTTTCTACTTTTTCTTAAGTTCGAGCAGTTGTTCTTTTCTATACCCCCACCTTGCAATATAATGTTGTAATTCTTCTATCTAAATCACGTGAACTCATGTAAAATTTTCCTCTCTAAAATTAAGAATTATTTTTTCTGGAATTTTGTAGCCTATCAATAACCTGAAAGAAGCTCAAGTCAGAAAAATGTGGAAGAACAGTCGCCTAATACTCACTTTAAGGCTCCATATCCCAAACTACAGCCCTCAGAAGCCCCTTATAACTCTGGAGTCCCCTGAATTCTTTATTTGTGCCATTTTTGGAGCCCTCAGCACGCTGCCAGGCTGGTGTGGCTGTCCAGCGTCTTGAATGGAGCAGATTGAGTTGGGTTGATGGATGCAGGCTGAAGACGCAGCTGCCTTTAGCCACCTGCCCATGTGAAAACCCACTACTTTCTGAAGGCTTTACATTCTTTTTTTTTTTTTCCCTGGGAATCTCAGAACTAGCTTAATGTGGAGTGGCCCAATCACTATTTATATTTAAGCCTAATTTGGATTCATAAGCAAGGCATTCCTCAGCCTGTTTCACCTAAGGGGCTTTATCCAGCTGGCATGCTCGTAGCATGACTAATGGTGCAGATCAAGAGAGAAGTGCAGAAGGAGGAGGTGTTGGGAGTCCTCATTCATTCCTTCAGAAGTACTAGCAGCAGGCAATACGGGCAGCCTGGCTCCAGTTTCTAGCTGGCAGAGGGATTTGTTTTATGTCCAACTTTTACCCTAATCTTCCACTTAAAAGGTATTCTAATTCGGCTTACCTCTATGACACAGCTCAATATTTTAAAGGAATATCTTTTTATTTCCATAAGTAAGTGGGGCAGAACCACGCACAGGATTAGTGCCAGAATAGTTGCGTTATTGTGATGTCCTGGGGCAGTTAGAACTCTTGTACTGGAAAAGGAGGGGTGTGAGCTCCATTCCTTACTAGTGGTTATTTTAAAAGTTTTAGTTGATGATTGAATTAAGAAAAAAAATAAGAATCACGAACATTAGCCTCCTGGCTGCTGTAAATCTCAGCTGGATGCCTAATGATGCTCACAGATTGAAGAGGAAAGGGATGTACCTGCCTCACTAGGAATTATACTTTCCTGCACACCTGCCCTTCCTCTAAAAGGTCTTTTCCATCTCCCTCTGGATTTAGACCCAGAATTTACTATTCAGTCCATGCATTCCCAAACTATACTGATACCCAAGGGCACAAAACGAGATATGCCCTGAGGCACAGGACCCAGCAGATGCATTTAAAAAGCTTTGTGTGCACAAAACTGGCTATTAGAGTGGTATTTGAAAATGAACAGAACTGAATGTTGGTATGCACATTTGACAGCAGTGTGTATGAAGCATGCAAAGAGCAGGTCTTGCTGTTTGTGTGTCTAATTCAGCCTGCAAAGCAGTGGGTAAGAAAGGTTAAGTCAAGGTAATTTGGACCCTTCGGAGTCTTTTTATACCATTTGGCAGAATACCTTTTAAAAGACTTTTTTTCACTTTAGTGCTCTTGAAAGGGAAAAGGCACTTAAATCATTGGAATGGGTTCAGTGTATGTTCTTTTTAACAATATCTATGTGCTTTAAAAAATAATACTTAGTAAACATTCCTACTACAGATGTACATTCTCCACATGGAAGAGAGGAGTGCAATCTGTATAACATTCCCAATTTAAAACCATAACAAATAAGATGTTACGCAGAGCAGCTACCTCTGAATCAGGCCAAAGGGAATAGAAGACCTCTCAATAAAGTTTAGGTCAAGATACTCTTTACACTGCACAGAGCATTATCTAATCTTTACAGCATTGACTTACAGGTGTAGTTGGGATGTGTTTTTGCAGCTCATCTGCTACGTAACACAGTGGCAAGCTAAGGACAGATTTCTGTGCTACCTGTGCGTGGCAGAGTCAGCATGCAACCCTGAATTTTAGCGCTGTGATGAAACAACAAACAAGGACAGAGAAAACTTGTTTTTGGCAGACTCTTTCTTAAAGCTGACGTGGGATTTTAAATATGAGTAACTTCAACGTGAAGCGTATCTGCAGGCTGTAACTGGGTGATTTAGCCACCAAGTTGTTCCTGCTCAAGTTAAAGCAGAAAAGCTGTCAGTGCTAAAGCAACTGAGGGGAGCATCAAGATGTTGAGAGATCAAGATTTGTCACTGAAGCATATTTTCCCGAACTCTAAAGAAACGAGAGAGATCTTTTTTCTCTTATAAGTGTATCTAAGACAGAACATTCACCAGATCATCTTTGGAACTTCAGAAACTTGAAAGCGTGCTGTATGGGAAGTGTAGAAGTGCATAAACCTTCTGACTTCAGCCAGCAAAATAAAAGGGAAATTTAATACCCCAATAGTATTAACATTGTATTTACAGCTGCTGCTGCTGCCCACATGAAAAAATGTTTCCCAAGGGCTGAGATCAAAGGTACTGCCACAGTGTGACATACGGGAGGACTACGCTATAATAATTTTACAGATTGTGTCCAGTGAAAATGTGTGCAATATAAACTGCAGGTGTTCATAAACAGAGAATGAAGGATCCAAAATTTATTATTATTATTTTTTTAATACAGGTCAAATTTTAAATTAGCTACTAGCTTCAGCTGTGCAGCTGCCCCATTTATCTATGACTAGCAAGGAAGATGTATAATCAAAGAATCCTAGAATTTTGGTGGGACCATGAGTCCTATGCAACTACTAACCAGAATGTTGTTAATAGTAAGTTTTCCATTTGCTATGATTTTTTTTGTTTGCTTTTTTGTTTGTTTTGGTAATTTGTTTTTGCCACGATCTTAGATACCTCATACTTCAGGAAATTCAGAAGTGGAAGGTTCTCTCTAAAAATCAAGGCGAACCCCAAAGTTATTCTGCAGAATTTCTCAGGTGGAGGAAACTGTGCTGTCCCTCTGCTTTATTTTGCCCACTGCTCTGCACGAGGGAAGCATTGCATCTAGAAGAACAGAGGAAAGGCAGCAGCCCCCTCACCAGTCATTGCAGCTATGTCCCAGAGCAGCGTACAGGCTGGTGCCCTCGTGACTCCATTGGTGTTAATGGGAGCCAGGCAATTCTTCCTCCATATACTATCCTCCAAATGCATCCACTGAAATCATTGTAAAAGCCATTGAAATTAGTCCTCTGCAAAACTTGTGCTGGGAAATCAGTCGGAGAGCTGCCAAGCACGCATAGATTTCCATGGAAAAGCTCTGCCTGAATACTGATAGATGTGATGGCCTGGCATACTGCAAAAATTGAAGCACCTGGAGGGGAAGGAGGGTGATGTGGAAAGTGCCTGCCTCACACGGGCTCTGAAAAGGCTAGCTTTGTAGAGGCATCCTCAGGCAGGCATTTTCTCAGCACAATGTATCAAGAGCTGCTAAAAAACACCAGAACCAGTCCTCTGCAGTTTGCATCCCTAGCAAAACACTGCTGACTTATTCTGCCGTCCCAGTCTGCTGCAGAACAGCTGTGCAGCCCAGTTACATCTCTCTTGGGAACATGAAAGGACATCCACTCATTACAGAAGGCTAACCACTAAAGCCTCCCGCACAGCTCCTCTCCCAGCAGGGAGAGCGGTGGTATTCCTGCTGCCCCCAAGGTATGGGGAGCAGGTCCTGAGGGAGCTGCCCCACAGCAGGCAGTGGCTGTGAGGAGGGTCTGCTACATCTGGGAACAGGGCCCCTGGGAATTTGCTCATTGCCTTCTGCCATGGGTGGTCCTGTCTCTGATAATGTCTGAGGGGAATGTTTATTCCCAGGTAGGTATTGCAATAGATGGTACAAAATTGTTTCTGGAATGAAAACAAGAAGGGGTGGGAAGACAGCCCTCACAGCCTCCTTACTTGCACTGCTGCAAGTTTGTAATAATATTGCTGCCATCATCAGAGCTACATACTGCAATATCCTGGGAGAGAAGAGCCAAGTTCTTTCTTATTTCCAAAGATGTCTTGAATTCCTTGACTCTTCAAATGAATAAGTGAAGATAGATGGTTCCAGGTTACGCCAATTTTCAGTTATTCTTGTGCATGCCTGGAATCACCAAGTTATTAACAGTGGCCTATTTTCTCACTTCCTATATTCCTGCAGCTGTGTGGTCCCCTGCAGCCTGGGCAGCCTTCCATGAGCTGTAAAACAAAATGAGGATGCCCTAATTTAGGTTTTGTTTCAGATTTGCCTGGAGCACACTGGTTGGCCAATAGCTCAGGGCGACATGATGCCGGCACACGGGGAGCCTGCCCCTGAACTGATGGCAACCAGCTCTGGTGCATGGATACATCAGGTAAAAGATTTCTGGATTGAATGCTGTTTTGTTTTTGTGGCAGCACAGAAAGATACTTCTCTGCTTATTTCTTTGTCCTCATCAAAGCCAAATAGTCTGCAGACAGTGTGGCTGGATACAGGAAACTGAGTTCTGTGCTTCAGGGTATGATGTGATCCCTGCAGAGAAAGACATCTCTCCTCACACATTGCCCATGCCATTGCACAAGCAACTGTGGGCAGCCCTGTATGTGTACTGAGGCAGGGGACAGCAAGAGTGACTTTCCTTCTCCTTTCTTCATCCCTCACTGACCGCAGGAGGGAGCTGCGTGGCACATGGAAGCATCTGTGAGGGTTAAAGTGTCACATGGCCTTCCTTCTAGCAATCCTGCCCTAACCTGCACAGTCTATTTGTCTGTCTGTCACTCAAAACAGATTTAGAAACTAAGCGAGTATTTGAGTAAGGGATGGCGTGACTTAGGAAGATCTGAGAAGGATTGGCTTGTCTGGGGCTTGGCGTGTGCTTACTGAGCTCTATATAACACTACAGAAGAAAGAGGAGATAGAAAGTTTCCAAACTGAGATCTGAACCAAAAGAGGAAGCAACCAAATCAAGCCCAGTCAATCACAGGAGGCACCAGTATCAATGTTCCCCTCTATGGAGGGGAAGAAATGGAAATGGATGTCCTCATGTCTAGAACAGAAAGAAGAAGAAATGGAGGAAGTAAAAGAAGATACAGGTGAGGGCTCCTCCCCACAACCACCACCACCAAGAAAGGCAACTGAGAAAAGTAAGAGACATGGAGAGGAGAGTGAGGAGGAGGAAGTCGCTGTTACCACTATTCATCGACCCCTGAAGATGACAGAAATCCACAGCTCAAGGAGTTTATATGGCACCTGAATGAAACTATAGCCACCTGGCTCCTGGACAGTGGGGCCAGTAGTATGCCTCTAGATGGTAAAAAAGCTTCCCAACTAGGAAACATTGCCTGAGACTCAGCTATTGACTGAGGGATTAGTAGATGTCTGGATGGAGTCACCACCCTCCGGGAACAAATGTTATCAGCTGTGAAGGAATGATATCCCTTCAAAGATGATCTGGAGCCTGAGATAAGAAAATGGAATGCTGTTGAAAAAGGTATCCAGTATTTGAGAGAAACAGTCGTGGTGGAGATGTTGTATGATCCCATGTTTGTTCCTAATGACCCGTGCCAGGACCATGATCCTGAGAGTTAGGAATACACCTGATATACGGTGGAAGCTCACAAGAGCAGCACCAGAATGGCATTACAGTACACTAGTAGTAATGATATGAGATATGAGGACAAACGCAGAAGACCCCCAGCTTTTGAAACTATTCTTACACTTCAAAATTCTGAACAGAAATTACCTCCATCCCATGCTTCCATTTCATGGTATGCATCAGAAACACGTGATGAAGACCAGGATGATCAAAAGAGTCTGCTGAAGCAGTTCATCAAACTGATTAAAGTCTCAGCTATCAAAGACAAATGCCTCCCTGATCGAGCAAATTACAATAAATCTATGTGGAGATGTTTATGTGAGCATGGAGAGGACATGAAGAAGTGGCATAACAAACCCAGTCCTGCACTATGAGCATGGGTGAGAGAACAGAAAAGATCAACTACCACTGAAATTGCTCCCGTTACTGCAAGTAACAAATAGAGAGGCCTTGCCCTGAGTCAGGGGAGGGAAAGGGGTAATAGAGTGTATTATACTGTGTGGATTTGATGGCCTTGCACATCAGAACCACAGGAATATAAGGCACATGTGGACACCAGTCACAGTGCACTCTGATGCCCTTGAGTTACAAAGAGACAGAATTGATTCATATTTCTGGAGTGACTGAGAGATCTCAAGAACTGACTGTGTTGGAGGCAAAAATAAGCCTCCCTAGTAAAGACTGGCAGAAGCATCCTGTAAAGACTGGCCCAGGGGCTCTATGCACACTTGATACAGATTATCTCAGAAGTGGGCATTTCAAGGATCCCATGGGGTATTGATGGGCTTTTGGAATAGCCACTGCAGATGCAGACAACATTAAGCAGCTGCCTGTTTTGCCTGGCCTGTCAGAAGATCCATCTGTTGTGGGGTTACTACCCCACAATAAAGAGCATCAGGTACAAATTGCTACAAAAACAGTGCACAGATGACAGTACCACACCAACTTGCTCCCCATTCGTAAGCTGAGGGAGGTGGGAGTTCTGGAGTAATTATTCCACCATTGGATGCAATTACATGTTGCTGCTGCTCTCTAGCTGATAACTATGGCAAACACCCGTTGTGCTTTCAGTTCACACAATTCCTACCAGCTGAGCCAAGTGTGTGCTTCAGAGATGTTTCAGAATGTGCACAGTTGTGAATGTTGCATTTCTCAGTGTTCCTGTGCCTGCAGTATCACTGTGTTCTAAGAAGGTTGCTGAATATTTTTGCAAAGGTAAAGTGCATACCTTAAAGCCAACCTGAAGCAAGTATAAGGCTTGGGAAGAACAGGTTAGGCTATGAATGTTTTAAAGTAGTTATGTAGTTTGACAATATAAAGAGGTGGCTTACTGTTTCTGTACCTTTTCTATCTGTTGAAGGGGCTGGAGAAAGAATTTTAGTGCTAGACCTGTGGGCAGTCTTTTTGTAACCAGTTGCTAGTACTGCTTGTGTGCAGAAACGTTTTGTTTTTCCTCTTTGTGTCCCATAACTCAATGATGTTGTCTGTAGTAATTTTGGGAAGAATGTTCTATGGCCAAGCTCCAGAAACTTTTGAAATCTCAGTTTTGAGAGCATAGCAGCCTCCAGTTGCCCTGAAGGAAGAAGTGGTGTAGAACAGAGAGGTACTGTTTTTTTTGGCACTCCTTTTCCAACTTTCTCTTTAGTTGGTTTCATCAACATCAATAAGTGTCAAAAAAATACAATGATCTGGGGAGTACTCTGTGCATCCAGCACTGAATGGTGTGTTGAGGTGTTTAGACTCAGTTCTGCTCTTAGCTGCAAGCCACAGAGGCTAGGGATAAGCAGTAAGATCAGGTTGTTCCTATAGAGTGTGGCTGAAGAACAGAAACCTCTCAGAACAGTAACTTTTTAAAACAAAAATGTAGTTAAAGGATAAAATATTTGCCCAAGATTTGGAAGCTGGAGCTGAAGTCCTTCCTCTAGCTGAATGTCATCATGAACTGCAGTTCTCAAAAGCAAAGCAAATTAGGAGAGTGGGTGCAGAAAACACTATTTCTGCAAAATCTTGCTTCTCTGTATTTCCAGAAGCCTTTTGCAGCTCAATAGGGATTTTCAAGTTAGATGCTAGTTAAGGATAGGAACAAGTGTTTACTGAGTTGGAGTCTATCTCCAAGCTGCTCCTCTGAGCTGTGTTCTGTGATCACAGCACTTCTGTCTCCATGGGCTTTGTGTGCCCTGCTGCATACAGCACTGGGTTCAAGGAGATCTGACACTACTTTAGAAAAAGTAATCATTCACCTGTTAGAGCTGCAAATGAGTGCTAGCTTGTTCAAGGACAGTCATTTCAATCCATGCCTTTATCTAGCTTCCTAAGTTAAGCATAAAGTACTCCCATCTCATAAATGTATAAAATGAACTACACTTTAATTGCTATGGTAATTTAACAGGATTCCTGGGGGGAGAAAATAAAAAAAAACAACAAACAAAAACAACTATTTACAGCCCTTACTTTAGAACTATTTAAACGAGATAAAGCAACTTAGTAAATTGTATTTGAAAAGAATTAAATTACTGTAAGTAAATTCGTAAGGTATTTGATAATGGTAGATAATTAAGATAAAACTTGCTTCTGAATAAATGGGGGGGTGGAGGAGGAAAGAGTTTTGCTGAATTAATACTTCTAGCAACCATTTCAGCCCACGTGTATTTTAGTAAGGCTAAAATTGCCTAAAACATTATTACCTTTTAAATGTTCAAATTATGTGCTGTATTGCTATAATGGGATGGAAAGTACCACAATAATAGTGGGGTGGCAAAGTCTTTAGCTACAGCAAATGAGAACAAGCCCAGTACAGCAGCCACAAAAATGGAGGAAAAGAGCTGCTTACCTTTAAAAGACTTCAGGTAGGCAGGGATCTCCAGCAAGAGATACCCTTCCTTCCACTGCCAATAAATGAGGTCTGGGAAGGGGTGGATCCTGTCTCCACCCTTCCAGTCACTCAGATGCACTGCATGCACCTGAGTTCCCTTGGGTTGGCCCTACCTTCCCACCAGGTGCTCAATCACTGGTTAGCGAATGAATTTGGCTGAGAATACCAGTAAGTTAGGTGTGCTTGTTTTCTTTTTTCTGATCAAGATGCTCCAAGACTTAGGGTCACCTAACAAGCTTTAGGCCACTTCAACATGTCTGTCACCTTGGTCTAAGGCTAATTCTGTATGAGTGACTGGTGGATTCCTTGCTGCTTAACTGCTGAGGTGGTGCTGGCTGTGTAGAGCACAGTGGGTCTGCTGGAGGCATTTCTGACTGTGTCAGGAAATTCAGAAGCTTTGCTTTTCCCTTTCCTACTCCCTGTCTCACCCTACTCCTGCTGCTGTGCATGTCCCACCCATGTTTTATATGAACCAAGATATGCCTTTCTTGAATGAAGTTCCCCAAATAATCTGCCCATGTATGGTAATAATATGAAGTTGTAAAAGTGATGTTGAGATATATCTGAAGCAAATGTGCTTGCTGCACTGCTGCTTTTGTGGTCCCCCACCCAGGATGGTGTGCAGTGTATAGCACCAGATCCAGTACTTTGCTATAAGTATACAAACTTCATGAAGATACCAGGTGTGAGTGGAAATGGAGGCTTGCTCTGCCTTTTGCACCAAGTACAATTTTGTGGTCCCTTATGAACTTTGACTCTGTCTATGTTTGGTAAGTGCGGTATTCATAATGAAGGGCTGGGATGATGGTTTCTGTGCTGTGGACTGTGAGGCTGTGGTACGTGGCCTTCACAGCTATGTTAAACTAAACAGTAATGGAGTCTCAAGAACAGAGCTTAGTGTGAGCAAGTGCTTCCCTTGACCTGCTAGCGTGCTTGTTGGTCTACAGGAGGTGCAGAGCTATTAAGCTAAACAAGGGAAATGTGGGGAGCTTTGGGAACACACTGAAGAGAAAATAGAACTTACTGTGACTTGTTTTCATGGAGTCCAATGTTCTTTATTT